TACACAGAATATACACACGTGTGTGTAAAACTACACAGAATATCCGCACACACGCGTTAAACTACACAGAATATTCACACGTGTGTAAAACTACACAGAATATACACACGTGTGTAAAACTACACAGAATATCTGCACACGCGTTAAACTACACAGAATATTCACGTGTGTGTATTTTAGTGTGTGTGTGTGTATATTAGTGTATATTAGTGTAAACCAGTGTCATGTGTATAATCTTATTCATATTCATGTTCTTCAGGGCAAATGGACGAATAAGGAGCGAGTGTTGGTGTTTTCTTCTCGTGGGATCAGCTTCAGGACGAGGCACCTGATGATGGATCTGCGGACCATGATGCCACACAGCAAAGCTGGTAAACCACATCAGACCGGCCGCACTAACCAGCACTAACCAGCTAAACCAGCACTAACCAGACAATCAATCAAATATCACTCTGGCTTTGTTTTCTTCCAGACACCAAGATGGACAGAAAAGACAAGCTCTTTGTGGTGAACGAGGTACTTGAGCAGAAAGCGTTCTGTAGTTCTGTAGTGATTCGTGTTTTGACGTCCTACACAGAATATACACACGTGTGTGTAAAACTACACAGAATATACACACGTGTGTAAAACTACACAGAATATCCGCACACGCGTTAAACTACACAGAATATTCACACGTGTGTAAAACTACACAGAATATTCACACGTGTGTAAAACTACACAGAATATCCGCACACGCGTTAAACTACACAGAATATTCACGTGTGTGTATTTTAGTGTGTGTGTGTGTATATTAGTGTAAACCAGTGTCATGTGTATAATCTTATTCATATTCATGTTCTTCAGGGCAAATGGACGAATAAGGAGCGAGTGTTGGTGTTTTCTTCTCGTGGGATCAGCTTCAGGACGAGGCACCTGATGATGGATCTGCGGACCATGATGCCACACAGCAAAGCTGGTAAACCACATCAGACCGGCCGCACTAACCAGCACTAACCAGCTAAACCAGCACTAACCAGACAATCAATCAAATATCACTCTGGCTTTGTTTTCTTCCAGACACCAAGATGGACAGAAAAGACAAGCTCTTTGTGGTGAACGAGGTACTTGAGCAGAAAGCGTTCTGTAGTTCTGTAGTGATTCGTGTTTTGACGTCTGATTCTAACGGCTGCTGTGTTTCAGGTGTGTGAAATCAAAAACTGCAATAAATGCATCTTCTTTGAAGCCAAGAAGAAACAGGATCTTTATATGTGGTGAGCGACATGTCAGTGAGACGTCAGAAATAATAATAATAATAATAATAATATGCTCATCATGAGTCAGCGGTGTGTGCTGAGATCTCATCTGCTCTTCTCTTACAGGATCTCAAACGTCCCTCACGGACCGTCGGCCAAGTTCCTCGTACAGAACGGTGCGATTTCTTTCTTTCAGTTATTTGACAAGTTTAGACTAGATCATGTCATGTGTGCTTTTTATATTAATAATGACTAAATGTCAGTTTATTCACTGTAGTCGACTGGTCTGCTAATGTTGTGTGAATCCAACAGTTGTCATTTATTCAACTCTTCTTCATTCCTCTCTCTTAATTAAACAGCTAGGCCTTTAGGATGTTTGTATGTAAATGAGCTCTGCGATGATTGGCTCAGCTTGCTGCATGATTGATGTAGATGTGGGTGATTATGTTAATGAGCTGTCACAGTTCTGCTGTTTTTAGAGACTGAGGAGAAAGTCTTGAGTTCTGAAATGATTTCACACTGAACTCTTGTTTCGATGTACCGATGACTGATTTTGTGTTTGTAGTTCACACTCTGGCTGAGCTGAAAATGACCGGAAACTGTCTGAAAGGCTCCAGACCGCTGCTGTCCTTCGACCCGGTGAGTGGAACACGCTTGCGGATCACACGCGTGTGCGACTGATGATGAAGATGAAGATGATGATGATGATGATGTTTGTCTGTCATTTCATAGAAATTTGACATGGAGCCGCATTACGCGCTGCTGAAGGAGCTCTTCACTCAGGTTTATTTCAACATTAATTCCTCTTTCAGTTTTTGCTGCAGAATGACTGAATTATGTGCACATCACGGCCTGTGTGTGTGAAGTGTATGGAGAGGATATGTAGTAATACATTCTCAGCCCACTGTGTTTGATCCTCCTCGTTCATTATTAAAGCACTTGTGCTGAGAAACAGATTAACAGAAACTCTGACTGCTTTCAGACACGCTTATTTTGAACACTGATGCGTGTGTAATCTCCTCGCACGGCTCATAATTACTGAACACGTTCTGACGGCTCGAGTGTGGTTCTTGCAGATCTTCTCGACGCCTCGGTATCACCCGAAGAGTCAGCCGTTTGTGGATCACGTTCTGAGCTTCACCATCGCTGAGCACAGGATCTGGTTCAGGAACTATCAGGTGAGCAGCGCAGCTCCAGCGCCAGGCTGTTTGCGTCAGCCGCAGTTTCTGAATGATTCTGTGATTGTCGTCCGCAGATCATCGAAGAAGACGCGTCTCTGGTGGAGATCGGCCCGCGGTTCGTCTTGAATCTCATCAAAGTCTTCCAGGGCAGCTTCGGCGGACCCACGCTGTACGAGAACCCTCACTTCCAGTCTCCTAACATGGTAACACTCTTCCTCACTAGGCCTGGGACATTCTTCACATTTGATCATTTATTCGCATTTAATGTTTTGCCACGATTACATTTTTTAGAAATCAAAGTATCGTGATTTTGAATAGAAATATTACCAAACGTTAGAATTAGACACCGTCAATATGCCAATGATGAGAGTGAAGAGAACAGAATGATTAACCGCTCGAGTGACGCGCTCGTATCACTAGACACCATTCACACAGAATGAGCTTTTGTGTTGATAAAGATGTGACGCGGCAGAGGAAGAGCAAACACATGCAAGAAGACGAGTGAACTTCTCTTAACTTGAGCGCAGTGTTTCTAGAATACCGTTTCATGCAAGAGACGCGAGCGCAGCAGTCAAACACGTCCATGTTTACACAGAACAAACTATGGAAAAGCAGCGCAAGCGAATAAAAAACCTGTAACTACTGCATGTCTGATATTTCATGTTTGCATCACGGTGACAGACTGAAAGCTGCTGTTGTTTTACAGAACATTTATAGTTAATAATAGTCTACTGCTGTTATACCTTCAGCTGTTTTGCATTTGAATAACCTTGACTTTTGAGCATTTTTGAACGCATTTTCCTCGTATTATTTCTGAACATATAACATGTATAAGACAAGTTTGGACAAGATGTAGTTGTAGTTCATGCATCTTTTCAGCAAAGATATTAAACAAGTGCTTTACATCACGTCGACCGCTTCATGTGTGCTGCTCTGGAAGTAGAATTTTCTTTAACTAGAGGGTTAATAAAGAACAAGTTATTGAATCATGTTGTAGTTACATTTTCAAGTTGACTAGTTAAAAATCATAAAAACGGAGAATCGGTCAAGCGTGGTGAATAACCCGTGTCTCAGGCTGGTGTTGTGTGTGATGTGTGTCCAGCACCGGCGCGTGATCCGGCAGGCCACAGCGGCCCGGCAGAAGCAGCGGCAGACGGTGAAGCAGATCCTGAAGGAGAAGCGCTCGGAGGAGCAGCAGGTGCTGGCCAGAGACGTGACGGACGACGTGTTCTCCACTCCAGCCGAGCCCAGAGATCCTGCGGTCCAGCTGCAGCCTCCAGAACCACAGAGATCCAAGAAGAAGCTGCGCCTCACAGAGCTGAAGAAGAGGACGCAGATGAAGCGCACGGGCCGGAGATAACCTCGCTGTAGAGATCTGATCCCAGACCTGAGGTTCTGCTTCTGCTGCAGGGAGGGTTTCTCTTTTGGGACGTTCTAAAACACTTAACGTGGCTTAATGCATTAAAACTGTGCACGATTAATAAAGCAGAAACACATTATTAATAAAGCATATAATGTACAGACAAGCAGATTAGAGCCATAATATGAACGCAACGCTTTTAATTACACATTAAGCGCTTTCCTCACATAGAAAACCGTCACAAGGAAAACGCTTTACGTGGCTTAATGCGTTAAAACAGTGTTTTTTAAAAGACCAAACTCAGTAAACATTACAACTCATACTATGTTCAGACAAACTTGAGTTTGGTCTTTTCAAAAACACTGTTTTAACGCATTAAGCCACGTAAAGCGTTTTCCTTGTAACGGTTTTCTATGTGAGGAAAGCGCTTAATGTGTAATTAAACGCGTTGCGTTCATATTATGGCTCTAATCTGCTTGTCTGTAAATAGTACGATTTATTAGCAGTCTTTATTGAGTTTAGTCATTCAGAAAACGCTGTTTTAATGCATTAAGCCACGTTAAGTGTTTTAGAACTTGCCTCTTTTTGAGGAACAGCTCAGAATCTGATGATTTACATTCATCTGTGTGTTTCTGCTGGTTTTGTAAACAGTGCAATGTTAATAAAACTTTTAATTAATGTTCAAACGTGTTGATTTTGATTTGCTTTGTAGGAAATGCACCGTAACATGACCATCAGTGACGAGCAGGGCTGTGTTTCCCCAAAGCTTCTTAGTTAAGGACGGCTTCAGTGAGTCCTGCTGTCGTATGGTTAGTCTGGACCACTCTGAACTAAACCTGATCACTTTAGATAGTTCAGTTCTTTACATCTCATTCTCTACGAATATAATAGTTCTGCAAAATCAAAGACAGCGCCGCCACAGAGCCATAAACTAAAACTTTAGGGGGAAAAAAAGAAAAGTTAGCCGGCACGGCAGCAAATGCAGCAGCTTTTAGATCTTGTTGGTCTGATATTGTCGAGTCATCTCTTCTGAACTCTTTTCTCTTTCTCTGTAATAGTAGCTGTTGATTAAGTTTCTCTTCTTGCGTTTTTGAGTAGGTCATCCAATAACAGAAACTAGTGATTTACATCAATATATGATGCGGCTGCTGGTTGTGGAGAAAATGAAGAGACTGGGAAATATATCATAATATTAACGAACATTCAAAGGCCAGTGAAGGCATGCTGCCAGTTAGTGATGCGGGCTGCGTTTGGGCATGAGGTTGTGGGTTCGCGCACTCATTAAAAAATTATATAAAATATCCAGGGTTCAGGGATTAATGTTCCGTCAGTTCATAAAGAGAGTCACTTGCTTCATTCCTGAATGATTCAGCTGTTCGAACGAATCAATTGAATGAATGATTCAGTGATAAAATCAGGGACTTACCGCCACCTGCTGGCGGATTTAGTTTAATTTTTAGCCTATAATTTCAGTTATTTGAATCATATTTCTGTATTCAAAATTGTATAGAAAAAAAATCCTTTGAATGTTTCCTCAGCCGTACCGCTCACACACACAGATTAAGAGCTGTTTCTTCAGCGCTTGTCCTCCTAATTTAAAAATTTAGGAGCACCTTCTGATCAATAATCAATAATTATCCTTCCTAATACGAGCTGACATTTGACTCCTTGAAGTGAGTTACGGCAGTATTTTCTTTTTACCTTTCTAATGGCATCTTTTTCATCTGTCGAATACAAAAATGTATGTTTATAATCTTTTTAACATTTCTATTTAAAACAATATGTAGAATAAGACATAAATTACCAATCATGAAATTAGTGTTAATAAATGAATTTGTACTACAGAGGTGGCACAGAAGAATGGGTGTATTTCCAGACGTTTAATGAGGCTCGGAGGAGGCACGAGTGCAATTACATTCATACATTCATGTGGAGATTCATGTTTTAAATATACAATTTTGAGTACAAAAATATGATTCAAATAACTGAAATTATAGGCTAAAAATGAAACCAAATCCGCCAGCAGGTGGCGGTAAGTCACTGATTTTATCACTGAATCATTCATTCAATTGATT